AAAGAGTCCTTGAATTTTGGTCGAGTGGATGGTAAACAGTATTGCTTTTACCCACTCCATAACTAGGTTAAGTTCAATACAGATTTGAACACTTATTATAAAGGTGCGAAAGATTTTTTTTGTTAATAACAAAGAAATAGTGAAAACAAATAAACATTGTAACTTGTAACTGTAAGCTTCTAGCGGGGTGAAGAGAGAGTTTCGGCTGTCACCATGCCCCCCGCCCACGTCTTTAAAAATACAGAAACAATAAACAGCCAATTAAAGAATAAATAATTTAATTAAGATTTAAGTGTCTTTAAAAACAGCCAATTAGAGAGTGACAACCAAGTGTATCGTCTAAACTTATTTAATTGACACCGAAATCTACCTTAATCACCCCGATAGCGCCCAATTGTTTTGTGGCATAGAGGTCGTGTTTAGTTACTTGATGCAAATTATGCAATGATAGAAGTTAATTGATGTTTACTTTTACTTTTCTTTGATGCAGATGTTTTTACTTTTCTTTTGATCCATGCATGTGATGATTATATATGAGATAATATAAGATAGGATAGTCTTTCATAATAATCTTGAAATTTAAAAATTTTAATATAAAGATTTTAATTTTTAGGTTGAAACATCAATCTTATAAGTTAGATTTATTGATAAATAAATATTATTTTATAGTTAGTTTAGATCTAGGGTATTTTAGTGCATTAGACAAATTGAATCACCACAATAACATTAAGTTAGTAGATTTGGTGTCCTCATATTTGTTGTACCTATGATTTTGATGATTACAAAACACATTTAAGTGACTAATTAGTTTATTTAGGTGTGTAGTTAAATTGCCAAAAGATTGCAAAGTAAGTAAAATAAGATTGCACTAAAAGGGACCAAAAAGACTGAAAAATGTGCAGAGAGCCAACTTAAAGAATTTTGCAGCTAGTTGTGGGAGGCAAAAATGCAGAGAGCCGATTGCAGATTTTAAAGTCGGCACTACAGGTTAAAATTTCAAGTTTGTTGCTTGGCACGCGCGGAAAACAGACGCAAAGCCGACTATGACTTTACAACCGACTGTTATGGCACATTTAATGCACAACGGTCTATTTATTTGAAGATTATTTAATGTTTTCAAAGTCGAGATCCCAAAGTCGATTTTATATTTTGCAACTAGCTGTTCAGGAAAACAGAATGTGCAGGAAATTCGCAAAGCCAGCTTTCTGTTTTGCAGCCGATTCTACGAAGAAAACAGAATGTGGAGGAAACTTGCAAAGCCGGCTGTAGAACTCTAAGCCCGCTGTTAGTTGTAGAACTCTAAGCCGGCCATACAAGGCCGACTCTAGACTTTAAGCCAGTTGTATTGACAAATTTGCAACTCAAAATTATGCGACTTGTAGAGCATTTAATAACCCCAACTGCTAGAAACAACTATTTTCAACCATGGGGCTATAAATATGGTTGATAACAGATCTGGAACAAGTTTAGAGAGTATTGTATTGAATATTTCTACCTACCAACTCGTGCTTTAACTTGAGTATTTAATTTTTGAGTGATTTTTGCTTGTAATCCTCTTTTTGTTCCATTTGTGAGTGATTTTGGGAATGTGATTATTCCTTCAAGAGTGATTTGTAAAGAGGATTGTTTGGATTTATCTTGTAAAGGAGTGTGATTTGAGAGAAATATTCATATTTTTGTAAAAGGATTGAGTGACTCTTTTAAATCATCATTGTTCTTAATAGTGGAGAGTGTGGAGGAAATCATTGGTGAGTGAAGCCAAGGTAGAAGCTTAGGCTCTAAGTGGTTGGATTGAACCTTGATAAAATCATTGAGTAAGCTCTTCTTCCTTACTCTCTTTAATTCTTTGTTTTGTGATTGTAAAAAGAAGAAAATTTTTGAACTCCAACTTACTCTCTCTTAGAGTGCATTGAGCCAACAATATTCCAGTCCAACACTTAAGACTTGTGGGTACAAGTGACCATGCTACCTAAGATTTGCTAATGGTATTGCCGCATGAATTTCAATAAAATTATTGGTTGGTGTATTTTAGTATCAAACGCCCCAGTTGTTTCTTTTAGTTTTTTAATAATTTGGTAATTTACATTCATCTTTTTATTTTAAATTGTTGAACTTTTCATTTTTATTTTTTAATTTTTATCTCTAATCTATTTAGTAAATGTATGTCATTTAAAATGTTTTTTCTACATGCATATATAATATTATACAATTATTTTTTTTTCTTTGATATCTATGAAAGCATTTAGATCTTAAGGTTAGGAGGTTTGATTTTATTAAAAATCATAATCCTTCGGAAGAGTTATAGAGAATAAAGGTTGGGGTTATTAGGTCTTAGAGGTAGAAAAAAATTTTGACAGTAAAACTTGGATGAGGATATTGAAATGCTTCTTTTGAATGAACCAGTGAGCATTTTGTATTTTGATTTTAGCTTTCATTTACTATTTTGAAATTTGATTTTAAGAATTTCTTATTTTTAATTCTTTTATATGTTTTGTTCAAGAGAGAGGATTAAAGTAACTTTAAACCATCTTTGGGTTTAAAAGATACTTTAAATGAAAGAGAAGTTTATACAATTTTAAATTTTGAAGTTTCTTTTAATGAAAGTCATTTAAAGCCAATATCCATACATATATATAAGATTGTTTTTAAGCTTACAACTACTTGGAGTTTAGTTAATGATTCCAACATTCATTATTATGCATTTTCTTTCATTAGGCTTGATAAGATTTTGAATTAGATTTGAAAAAAATACTTTTTTATTTGATATAGCTATTACTAAATAATTTTATTATATTTTTATTTGTTTTAATCTATTGAATTGCATTGTGGGGTTGATTTGCTTTCTACATTAAGTGGTAAATGGTGTTGAAAGTTTCAAGATGATAATCTTATATTAAAAAATTAAAAAATGTATTAGATAATACTTCAAATGTGCTATTAAATTTCTGATTAGCAGTACTAATTACTACTAATTAATGGTAAGAAGAAATTATTATCCAACTGTTTTGAAAATGCAATATTGTTTGTATACTTCTAATCTATATAATGTGGTCCGACCACATATGTATTAAGTTTTAATTTTTTAATTTTTATTTCAATTGGGTTCATAATTTTAAAATTAAATCAATAAATTAAATTATAAACAATTTAATTATAATTTGATAAACTCTAAAATTTACCAATTCAATTTTATTATTTCAGTATCATATAGTGAAAATGAGTTTACTTAAATTTTCAATTTTGACAACCTTAATTGAATGAAGTTTCACCGCACTAAAGAACTATTTGGTATAGC